CCTGCTTCTGTAGAATTATGTAGTTGGTTTCCATTCTAACTGGACAAAGGGAAAGGCTTCTTTATATGTGAAAAACTGCTGTATATCGCCCCCCCCCCACCTGAGACAGACACACAGGCTCCAGTACTTACCATCCAAAATTTCTGGCTTAAAAGCAAGTGGTAATTGTACTTTCTGATAATTAAGTGGGGTTGGCGATCCAGAAGTGATCATCTTGAAGGCAGCAATTCATTAAAATTTAATCTAAAAACTGCTAGAAAAGGTTTATGATGATGTGGTATATTCTACAGACCTCTGAACCTGACAGTTGGTTTGTATTCCAGTCATTTAACAAATAACTTACTTATTGGGTCGTTCCTGGCATTGTTCTAGGCATTGTGGTTACAGTCTTAAGACAGGAGTCACATTTAAGGCGTGCAAGACAAATAAGTACCAGAGGTAATGTGAGTGAGTAAAAAGTACTATCTGGAAAATAAAAGGGATGTGATCATGGTTGAGAATGTGGGACTACTTTAAACTTAGAGGTCAAAGGGCTCTCTGGGTAACATCTGATCCGAATAAACGACAAGGATGAGGCTGCCATGAACATCTGGGTGTGTGGTTTTCCAGGCAGCAGAATAGCATGCACAAAGGCCCTGAGGCAGGAACAGGTTTGGCAAGTTGGAGATACCTAAGTAAGGCCCAAGCAGCTGAACCATAATGAATGAAGCTGATTCCTGCTGGATGAGGTCAGAGAGCCCAGCTGGGCCCAGATCACATGAACCTCGTGCACGGCTGAGAGATTTTAAGCTCCTACCACCAACTGCAAATAAAGCCTCAAATTACTTTGTCTCTCAGAGCCTCAGTTTCCTTATCCCTAAGCACGGGCGGAGAACATTTCATTTGGTTTAAGTGCGATGTTTAAAACAAAAGACATTACTCATTAAATGCTTAGTGAATTCATGGGCAAAAAAACCGTAAATACTTTTACAAGTTGGATTATATCTGGACATGCACCAGATCTTCAATTTGCCCTCCAATTTTCTTACACATGTTAAGATGAAAAAGGAAATTCTTGCAACAAAAATGGCCTCAGTGCTAGTTCTGACAATCCCCCCACCCCCATTGTTGGAAAAATGCTTGGAGGTCCTGGAAAAGAAGGAACCAGGTTTTGAAGGATAGAGAGGGGAGAAGGCAGAACAACAGTGATCTGGCCTAATGATGGCTGACTGGACTCCAGGACCTCTTCTGTTCCTTCTACAGCAGGGAGAAGCAATTACCAACGTTTTCAGTCCCGTCACCCAGCACCCTAGGGCAGGCGGAGGACGGAAGTGCATGTGTGTGTGTGTGTGTGTCCCTCCCCCACCCCAAAACACATCCTGCAGGCTTAGAGGGATACTGTATTTAAAAACAGATGCCTCTTTGGAAGCTCACACATTTTAAGTCCTGTAAATCACACATGCTGGGGAAAGTAATTACACTTTCGTCGCACTTCCCCTCCGAGCACAAAGGAAACTCTGGTACTTCTGTAATAAGATAGCACTTTCTGTGCAGTCCCTTCTCTCATGAGGCCTCAACAACCCATCCTCTAGGTGGGCATAAGAGAAATTTTCACAAAACAGGATCCTGGGGATTTGAGGGGGGAAATTTTTTTTTTAAATCTCTAGGATTTCTTAGAGTAACATTGGCCACCTGTTAGCACATCTACCTGGTGACAGAAAAATTTAGGAAGAGCGGAGTAAGGAACGTCATTTTTAAAAAGTCAACTTATGAGAAATAAAAATTAAAGTAGAAACTGGTTCATCCCTAACTTCTTTTCATGCGTTGGTGACATGTACCTCAATCTTGAGAATCCCAGATTTCTGCAAAATCCTTGGAGCTGACTGGATTGAGCTAGGCTGCTCTGGCACTCCCTCCACACTTTAAATTTGTGTAACAATACTGTATTACAGCCTGGAATTTGGAACCATCTTCATGGTGTGATTGGCATTTATTACTACCATTTCGTTTTTTTCTCCAGTAGTCTACATAATGTGCATCATAATGGTTGCAGCAGGGTTAAAACCTAGAAGAAATACAAATGCAATTGCTGTTTTCTTAAATTCCTGAGCCACTTTTCCTTTTTCATGAGCTGACATTTAGCTGTGAGCAGAAAAAGCAAACTTTTAGGAAAGCACGTAAAGAATAAACTGAAAATGTGACCCACAGAAAACACTTTGGGTCTAGCCAAAGGCTCATGCTTATCCCCACGCCACCCCCCATTAAAGTTAAAAAAAAAAAAAAAGAGCAACTTGGTAAATTTTTTTCTTAGAAAAACACTCAAGTGTCTCCAGGCCTTCCACCTTTACCTTCCAAAACCATCTACAAATTTTATGGTAGAGCATGATCTTCCCTTCTAGGTACAGGGTTGGGAAAAGAAAAATTGAAGCATAAGTCTGGAAATTAACCGCAAATTTTAGAGGAAAACAATTTCCAAAGACTGTTGATGAGAGTAAAAAAAAAAAAGTATTTGAAATATACTATATATACCTCAATTTTTTTTAAGCTCCCCCGAATCAGGCTTTCAAATGGTAAAGTATACTAGACACTATTATAACTAGGCAGACTATATGCAAAATATTTTTATGATCCTAAATTAAAAAGTGCTTTTAAAAAAAACTGCTTCAATTTTTCCTGAGAATTTCCAGTTCTCCCTTTTTTTTTTTAAAGACATAGCTTCAAATTTTAGGTAAACTGTCTCTTTTGTTGCCTACCCTCACAAGGTTTCCTAGAAACTGGGGTCCCACACCCTCTCCAGTTTTCTGGGCACTCAATGCGTATTAACCACCTTTTCATTACCAGCTATATATTCTGCAATTGTTCTGAAAATTTCTTTGCAAGATCAGACTTCTCCTCTGCATCTCAAACCCAATCTCTTCACTTCCCAGTTGCCTTCTTTTCTTCCCCTATCAATGTATTTTCTACTTTTATAAATACAACCACCATTCAGCTAATCATCCAACGGAGAAACCCAAGAGACTCGACGGATGAAAACTCCTAGTCTTCTCCCCTGGCATCTGAAGGTTACTGCAGTCCCTAAACACCTCCCCCGCCCCTGGTTCAGTCCCACCGCCAGCCACTGCCTTATTTTGAGACAGGACTCCAGCAGCATTAGCCTCGAAACCCACTGTATCCCCTTCCACACTGGAACGTCCCAGAATGCCACATTCCAGCTGCACAAAAGCCCAGCTCCCATCACAGAAGCGTCCTGTTCCCTGGCGTGGAAGGCCAGCTCCTTCATCCTGTCCCAGGCCAATGCCTCCCCCTCCCCCATTCATCCTTACTTCCCTTCCTCTCCTGCTCCTTTTCCCTTTTAAGCCTTGGTATCTTCATAGGGGGCCAATCCCTCTGACTGGACCATCTTGCCCCCACTGTCTCAACCCTTTGCTCATCTGTTAAAATCTCAAATGTCACTTTTTTTTTAAAGCTTCCTTTGCTATAGCTCCATCAGCCTCTCGTCCTTGTAGTGTGGTTGACAGTGTTCTCATCTCAAACTACCACTTCACCTAATTGAACACAGTGCTTTATCATACCTGTTTACCCAGGGCCATCAGCACTAAACCCGGAGCAATTTAAGACGAAGAGCTGTCACAGCTCTCCCCAGAATCTGCACGTCAAGGCTCCAGTCACTCAACCCCTCAGTGCCTCAGTCACCTCCCCCTAAAATGAGGTTCGTCATCACAGTCATACCTCCATCAGCTTGTTGTGAGGATGAAATAAGATGATACACATCCAGTGCTCGGCATGTAGTAAATTCTCAAAAGTTAGCAGTCACCTCCTGAGTGAATGGTTAAAAAGATTTCTGAAAATTTCCCAGGATCAAATATTTCAGTATTTTCTTCTCTCTGTGCTCAGCAAAGACGACAAACTAGGCAACTTTGTTCCAGTAAGCTCCGCGGTCAAGCGCTCACCCTTCCCCTTCACACGCACAATACACTGAAGTGGTCTGAAATGTTCTCCCAGTGCACTTCAAGATAGGGGTGTGAGTTCCAGGAATCATTACCAAGTCATCCCTGCAGGACAGACAGGCTCACCCCCATCAGGGGAGGACATCCTCTTATCAGCACAGCATCAATTTAAATACCTGGTTCCTGCTGGCCTGAAGCCCAAAGAGCCATGCGGCCACTTTTGCCCCAGCTACTATTAAGGTTCATTCTCTTCATTCCTTCCTAAATTTTTTCTTTGACCAAAGCAAGCACCGTTCAAGAGGAACACTGGCATTCCCCTTACCCTACCCCCAAGCAGACACGAAGGTGCCAAATGAAACTGAACACAAACATTCCAAAGTAGCCATCACACTGAGCAGGCTTGTTTGGGAATGCAGGGAGCTCGATGCTCTTGCTCTTCCACCTAACCAGGGCTTCCGGAAGCCCTTGCCCAAAAGGTTAAGCTGAATCCTGCAGCAGAAACCAACTTCTAGTGGTGAAACCAACCGCACCTCGGAACAAGAGGGCCCACGTTGGCAGTGGCTGGTGGATGGACCAGGCACACTGGCCCGTGAGGGCAAACAGAGGCTGTGGATGCCAGGGTGGGGTCCATCCATAAGCGGCTCTAAATCCCATTCAGTAAGGGGCTGCTTTTAGGCAGCTTAGGTATTCAAGGTCATCACCACCAACCCTACCAGTAAGGGTCTTTCGTATATTTATAAATTATTTATAAAGAATTATGTGTGTACATGTTTGTGTGTGTGGTACTTACCTGGTGCTGGGGTACTAACTTTGGGAAGATACTGGGGACACTGTGATAAGATGGCAGAGAGCTTTAAACACACACACACACAAAAGAAAGTAATGATCCAGTATAGTACCTTCTCCTGAAATTCTGCAGAAAGTCATCTCTTTGGAAATAGGACATTCAGATGGGACTGAACTTGGGATGGTACTTGCAAAATGTAGCCTGAAACTTGACGCCTGCCTTGAAAGCAGCTCAAACTAGATCAAGAGGGAAAGGGCAGCTGACGCAAACGGTGTGCAGAGTATGTACGGAGGTACACTGGAGCAATCTTGAGTGTCAAATTTGGGCTTTGAGTGCTGAACGAGTTGGGGCATCAGAGGTTGCCAACAGTTTGTGTTAGGATGATTGAGACAGCATTTTAGAACAAGGAGAGCAGTGGAAGATCACTAGGAAGAGACAGGATAAAGGAATGAGTAAGATAAACATTGTGAGAAAAGGCCAAGAGGAACAGAAGAGGCCTGATTCCCACCGCAAGGCTCGGGAGCAAAACCAACCAAAATGCAACCAGCCCAATGGTTTTGTGACACCTACAGATATTACAAGGAAACTTAATGAAATCTTCAAAGTGAAAAGGCATCTGATTGGTTTTGTTCCTACGTCCATTCGAGGAAATTTAGAAAACAAAGGAAAGCATCAGAAAGTAAGTAAAAAATGATCTGTAATCCACTAGTTTTTATTTCTGTTTGGTTATTGTAAAGAATTGGCATCACATAATATAAAACTTTTAATTCTGCTCTTTTCACTTAATGTCGTGAGAATTAGCCCCTCAATTAAAATGCAGAAGCTGGAAGAGAAAGTCAGATTCTCCCCTAAGCATTTAAAGGGAGCGAGGTGAGCTAACACCTTGATTCCAGATTTCTAGCCTTCAAATCTGAGAAATAAATTCGTTGTTTTACGCCACCAAAGAAATTTACACACATACTCTTTAAAAATGCGGCTTTTAATGTATACATAATATTCTTGAGGAATTTCACCGATTTACTTAGCACTTTCCCTCTTAGACATAGTCTTTGAATTTTCACTATCGTAAATAACTCTAATAATCGTCCCTATGAATAAATCTTTGTGCATGTTTATTTCCTTAGGATAAATTTCTAAATTCTAAGCATGGAGTCAAAGGGCTTGAAATTTTGATATATGGTGCCAAAGTCCTTCAGAAAGCTGCAGTAATTCATAACCCCATTGCTGCGCACAAGAATTTCCACTTTATTGCCTCATCACCAGTGTCAAACACTTCTATCCTCAAAGCAAAAATTAAGATGAACCTTCAAAAATTATACGAAAGCATCTCCAGTAAGAACTTCTACCCTATCCGATCTTCCTCTCCAACAAATGCCTTAGAGACAGACGACTACCCGTGAGCATAAGGGTTTATCAGGGAAATCTTAAAACCCCTACTGGAAAAACAACTCATAAGTGCATGTCGTATTGGCAGTGGTCTTGCTACCATCATTCTACTATGAAGTCACCACATTTTCACCCAAAATGCTGTCACCAAACTCTATTTATGACTGAAGTATAAGTTTACTGTATTTGATTTGATTTGATTTGGAGTAACAAGACTCCAAACTTGGTTAAACTGTACAAAACCATTCTGTATTTTTCCCAAGTCATAATGTAAATTAATATTAATGTTCAATGAAAACCAATGAAAGGTTGCCACATCGAGCTAACATGGTACCCTCTCTGTGCCAATCCCTCTTAACAGTTTTCTTCATGAATCTGATATTTGCGCAAAATTAGTAAGTATTTTAAAAGAGGGAATGCGAAGTAAAGATTTGTGTTAACTTTTGAAGACCTGACTTTGTGATTTCTGCCCCACAGCTGCCAGACATCTTTTTTGATCAATTTTCCAACAAGGTCAAGCTTTTTGTTTTAGTTTTAAATACAAAGAATGTTCAGTCAAAGCAATTTAAGGAGAAATTATTCTAACACCAGTGCTTCAGTATAATAAAACACCTTTTAGAAATGATTTGTAAATCAGCCTGAAAAATACTCAATGACATGGATAAAAGTAAAAATAAACCCAAATTACCTATTTATCTGCTTTCCAAAAAAAGAAAGCTTCCGTTTTGAAAATTCAGTGACCAAAAATAATTTCTATTTACAAGAATAGACTGTCCCAATATACAAAACTTAAATAAGACATATAATTATGTCTAGTACTCATGTATTAATTTTAATAGTCAAGTATGAAATGCCAAAGGTGTTTTAAGAGAATATTGTCTAGTCCAAAATTAGAGGCAAATTTTAGGATTATTTTATTAATTGTCAAGTTATGTAAGAAATGATCTAATGCCCTACATATACATATACAGAAGGCTTGTAAATCTTAGATCCCAGTGAGACTTTGACAACTGGTTTTTCTTTACAGGGACAACTTGCATAGGAACAGACGTGTATAGCACACTAGAAGCCAGAAAGCCAGATGTATTCGCTCTCCTACACAGCTGGCTAGCCAAATCTTATTTTTCCTCAAAGCTTTAAATACTACCCAAAGCAAAAGTCTTCATCCTGCCCACGTTCTCAAAAACTTTCAATGATTAAAAGCTGCAAAAATTCTCCTAAATCCTGGACTGTTCATCCTATTCAATTAGAACCAAGTAAGTGTTTTAAAGTAAGCTTCAGAAGCGCTCAAACAGGGCTGAAACGTACTGGAAGATAAAAGGAAATCACTTAAAAAATAGGGAAAAAAACCCCCACAACCCTGGACTTTACAAAGTGGTATAGAAAGCCTAAATTACCTTGATGACTGTGAAATAAACTGTCTTCTCTTAATGATGACCCGACTCACTCTCCTTCCTCAGCTCAATGGCTACCAGAAACGAGAAAACACATATTTCCTCTTTTGTCATTATATGTATATACGTCTTACATGTGTGTGTTCTGTTTACTGGAATCCTCAGGCCTGGCTTTTAAATGTGTTTGAGAGCAAACTGCTGATCGCTGGGTGGGCAGGGAAAGGGTCCAGGGCGGTGGTTTTGTATAATGCTGAGCACATTAATGGGACTCACCCAATACCATATTTATTTTACTTGTGGCTTTCAGGGTTAGGAAAAAGAGGTTAGGAGTTTTTCAAAACAAAACATAAACCCAAAACAGGGAACTAGGGCAAAATTACCTAGATCATTTAGGCCAACTGACTTTCTTTTCCTGAATTTTCAACATTAGAAAACCTCTCTCTTCAAAGTGTATCTGTTTTGTAGGCTCCACCTCTTGTGCAACTTGGTTTCTGAAATGTTTTGGACTGTCCCTTTATTTTTAAAATAAAGTGTCTTGCTAAAAACGGATACTTCCTAGAGCCACGAATCATTCCCACCTGAGAAGAAACACTGAAAGGGCACCAGGACGGGTAAGAGGCAGCGACTGTGCTGGGATCACCTGTGTGTGATTCCACTTGGACACCGCCTCGCACAGTGAAAGACACTCCGGAACAGGGCAGACAAGTCAGTACTGGAGGCAGTGAGGCCGAAATGGGTCAAGCAGAAATCTGATTTTTCCCTACTTAATTTGTCAAGTTGGTTATGGTTTGGGGACACTCAAACCAAAACAAATCTTTGGTTTACCTGATTAACTTTCCATTTCCAAGTTCTCAATCAAGTGAACAGAGAAAGATGGTTTCACAGAATATATTCTTACCCTTAGAGGTCAACAGATTGCCAATCTAATAGTGAACTAGGAAGGTTTTTAAAGCAATTATTATCTCAGTGTGTTAGATGAATTAGTTAATTATAGCAACTCCTTAAAAAAGTACAATTATTTTTAAATTTTTATTTCAGGGGTAGGGAAAATAAGTAGAAAAGCAACCAGTTATGGTTCAAGAAAAAAACAGAACTTGCAATTCAAGTCTCCATCTCTTTGAAAAAGAAGGAATGTCAGTAGTATTCGATCACTTGTAGTTAAAAAAAGAACTGGCCATGTAAACAATGCTTTTCAAAATAATAGTTTATGATAATAAAAGCGATTTCCTCAGGTAAGAAAGCAACTTCTGGCTTATGGCAATTCACCTAGGTTGTACTGTGTTCAGAGTAAAACCTTGTATTTATTTTGTATTGTT